TTCGCGAAAGTCTCTTATGTATTGATCCATTTTATTTGTTTCTTTATAGACTACTAAAATAATTATATAAATAACAAAATAAATAAAAAAATGTAACCCTAAATTAGAGTAAAAAAAAAATTAATTTAATTAAAGTTTTCGAAACAACAGAAAAACTATTTATTTTAGGTAAGTAATTGAACAATAAATGCTAAAAATTTACTTATTTCTGCTCCTGGTAGCACGATTCGGAGGGGTTTGTAAAACTCCCCTGTCTTTTTCCTTCCTCTTCTTGCTCTGCAGTTGGTGGTCTTTAGCGTCCTGTACAGATTCTTTTTCTTCTTCTTCTTCTTCCTCCTCGTCCTCTTCTGTATCAGTATGGAAAACGTCGTCGTCTTGCTCTTCTTCTATATCTTTAGCAGTGTACAATTTTCCATTAATCTCTATGAGATGTCCCTTAATTTTCGCTGTTTCTTTGTTCTCTTTAGCTAGTTGTAATCTGTTTCTAAGAATTTTGTGGTTTATTTGATCTTCTTGACATAAGTCATTTAGAATGGAAATTTTCTTTCCTTTTAGTTTAGAAACGTTTTGGTATATTTCTTGTTTTTTAAAATAATATAGCAGTTCGAGGCAAATGCCTTGTTTACCTTTTTCCTTGCCGATTACGTAACAATTGTTAACATCAGATTGTACCAAATTTATTTCTAATAGATGATTTAAATCAGTTAGAGTTTGAGATAATAGATTGTTATTGTTGATATTAAGTCCAAATATAATGATATTATTTTTCCGAAGTCTTCTCTCTATTTTCAAATATTTGTTTTCAAGTATTTCACATTTTTTTTCAATCTTTTCTATTTTTTTGTTGTAGGTGTTTTTAATATCATGGATTTCTTTGATTAATTTTTCGGTATTAGTTTCTTGTGATTTAATTAGCAATTCATATAACATATTAATTGTCAGATCTGGTTTGTCTGGCATAACTAAATTTTGTAGATCACTCGTATTTATTTAACAGCTGCAATGGATGGTGTGTGTCTATACATACGAAAATAAGCCTTATTGTACTTGCCTTAAGTCAGACTTGGCGTATATCTTCGATTTGTTTAAATGGACGGTGTTACTCGCCTCTTTGATACGATATTCACTTTTATTCAAGCACGTGCAGTTTTGATTTTTATCATTTTTAATGCATTTATCCAATTATTGATAATATTTAAGACATACCTTTTCTTGCAATGCTTCATATACGACTAGGTGCATAAATAATTACAGTTTACACTTATTTTACTTTATTTTACTAGCGTTTTTATCGGTTTTTAGCAAGAGCCATATCACAATCACCTTCACTACATGAAGCCCGTTACACTTAACTGCAAATTTTCCATAGTTTTCCAAAAAAGTGCGTTTTATTTTTTAAAAGTTTTTATTATTACTCTGTTTTTAAGGTGTATTTGGATAAAGTGGAGTTCTTTTGGCATAATAATGTGTACTTAAGAAACAATTGAAAGTTAGTAATGAATATAAAGTGGTAAAAAGGAAAATTTGTAGCATTTTTGTTAAAAATTTTATTAATAAAATTACAACAAATAAACATAAGATGGATATTGTTAAAAATTTTCTTTTATGTCAATGTTCTCGAAATTTGAATATAATAAGCAAACAAAAAAATAAGTTGGTAACCTCGATAAAAAGAGGTTCATTTAAAAGAAATATTACCCATTAAACATTTAAACTCTTTAATAATTCTATATAGATAATAGATAATGTCATTTAAGTTTAATATACAGATAATAGTGACACCGCCTTGTCACAGCCTGTTTTTGACAACTCATATATGACGTACTACAGGCAAATAGTAATAGAAAGTTTGTTTTCTTTATTATTAATCTAAAAAACGCCAATTTTTGACTTATGTCATTATTGCAGAAAATTTATTTATATCACCCTATCAAAAAGGAAACTTTTTTATCTATCCTCGTATTATATATTTACGATCAGAAAGTATATTTGTAAATTGTCAAGTAACTCTAGTATTATTACACCTACGCCGAGTAACGTTATGTAACGTACCCATAAACGCATTTTCACTACGAAAATGGAACGCTAAAACTGGTATTTTAAATTGGAGTAAACGATAATACGCATTCTGACATTTTGTAGATCAACGAATAACATGAACGTTATTACGTATTACTGAGATTTATATCCAACACGACATCTGTTAATTAATTTTTTTATTGTTTTTTTGATAATAATGTAGAAATAGTAGACAAAGTTAACTTGTAGGTGTATTGCGACTGTCCCCCTCTCTTTGACACTAATTAATTTAACACAGTAACAGAGACAAATGAACAACTTTTAACCTAAAAAAAAATTCGTCGATTTAAGCTAACGTGCTTATTTAAAAAATAGATAGTAATAAAGTTACAGGGGAAATTTTAGAAGTGATTTTGTGTTCTTATCCTATACGAGTATTTTTATGAAAATGTACATGAGATAGTATACCAATAAAATAGAGTTAGTGGTGTTTAAAATTGTTTTATTTCTATAGGTTTTTAGAAGGTTCCTATTTATTAAAAATTATTCTTAAAAAAAATAATTTCCCTTTGATATTCCTAATATTTTAATTATTTTAATATTTATTTATTTTTTATCTACATGTTCCAATAATGTAACAAAATTTTTTTCTTCTAGTGATGGTTTACTATATGACAGGTTTATTCTTCTTCTTAGCCATTTAGAATAATAATTACAGTTTTCTTTATTTGGAAAAACTAGAAAACCCTAAATCAGTATCCCAAAATGTTTCTTCATAATATTTATTTATTAATAAATACTAAATTGCATTTATTGAATAGTAACACCATCATTTAGCGAAACCTCATACTAAAGTGAAAGTACGCCTAGACTCGAGTTCAACAGAAACAGAAACCTGTATTGTACTAGAAAAGGATTTAAATAATGGTTAAATAATCTTTTGTTTTTAAAATATTGCTTAGGTACTTAATGAGAGTTTGTTTTCACTAATTATATTAAAAAAACTAATTTATAGGTATTTTATATACTTACGTACCTACTTTTTTGGCAATACAAATCGTTGACAGCAAAAAAAATGATACTGACATTGAACTTTAATAATGTAAAAAGAAATAAAAGCAAGATGAAGAAGTTTAGAATCTTTCAAGAAATAATATATTTTTTAAGATTTACTAACAGTAACAAACCGCCATAAATATATATCTTATTTTCGAGAATATGGACACAATTCAAAAGTCGTCAATTTTGAAATTATTCCATCAATAAATTGACAAAAACAATGACAGTCCCGTATTCCCTAGTATTTTTTGACGGCGTCAATTATCTCGAAAAGTTTTTTGAATTGTGCCATTATTCTCGCAAATGAGTGAATATGGAGAACTGTTTATCTGACTTTAGGAAACAAAAATTTCTATAATTTTGAATCATAAAGATTTCATATCAAAGAACACAGAATCGTATTTAACTCATTTTTGATAGAAATGAACATAACTTCTTAGTTATTGAAATAATAAATGGTTAGGACAGATACAAAAGAATTTTTTAAGCTGTCGATTGGGGAGGTTTTAACTATAAAGAAAACAATAAATATAACGGTAAAAAAATATTTCACCATTTTCTTAGGACTGATTATATAACAAAAAATAATAAAGAAAAAAATATGTATGTTGCTAATAATATTTAGGGAATAATAATGAAATTTTTGTATTTTTTAACTTCAAAATCACCTTTAAAAACGTAATAAAAATACTATTTATTAACAATAATAACAACAAATAAAAATTATTTATTAACAATAATAACAACAAATAAAAATTATTTATTAACAATAACAATAACAACAAACAGAACTAACACTAGGAATTAAAAATTACTGTGTTAAATAATAACAAATATATTCTGAATTTTTTATAAAATTAAAAAATAAACAAACAAAAACTTTACCACAAAATGGTAAAACAATTATTATAAAATGTTAAATAGTAACATCAGTCATCGTCAACTAAAATTATTTAAAAAAATACTATATAAATAAATAAAAACCCTTAAAAGTATATATATACTTGGTATAATATTGCACAAACGTTTCATAAACCTGATATCAACTGTAGTTATAATGGGTGTGAATTATTAATTAACAGATTGACAATCAAAATCAATTAAAATACATTTTTGTGTCTATAAAATTTTTGAGTTACCTAATAGGCTGTTTGGGGAGTTAAAGTAAGCATTTGTAACTATACAATGTGAGAATTAGGGTTGTAGACCTCAAATTATCTACATTAGGCAATGTTTAGGAAAAAAATGCCGAAACACGTCAAATTTAAAATTTTATTTTTCTTTTATTTTTAATAACCATGGTTATGACTGTCATGATTGTTGGAAAGTATTTATTAAAATGTTTTTCTAATATTAATTTATATCAACCCCTGAAGACTATGCAACACCTTATGTTTAGTTTTAAAATTAGAAGTTTTTGTTACTAGAAAATAGTTTAATGAATTTGTAGTATTGTAGTAGTATTTTTATGTCAAATTTAAATACATCATTTGATTTTAAAAACGAACAAGTTTATCACTAATACCCTAATCTTGAGAGTTTTTGAGAAACAATCCCTAACATTTCAAAAATAAGTTTGAATTAGCAAAGCGTTGCTATAATTCAACCAAGGGATGGCTTATTGTCAAGAAGTACAAGTATCTGCATTTCAACATTTTTTTTTTTATAAAAAATAATACTGTTATTACAAATTAAACGTCGTTCCCCCTTTTTAACAATTTAATTAATTTGCTCCTATGATCGAATTTTCGGTATCACCCTGTATAGTTACAAGAATATTGAAATGAAAAAAATGCCAACTAAATCTGTATGTATTCTAAAATAAACAACATTAATTTCAAAGAACCTTTCCTTCTGAAAATTGCTAACCATTAAATTTATTTTCTTGTTTATTTTATTAAAATTTACTCTTCATAATTTACATGTTTAGCATACCTATAATACCCACTAGATAATGACCTGTAAAGTTTAGCGATGTTCGCCTTTTTCTGTTCTTCTAATAAATCTTCTTTAGGAACATAATAGTGGAAATGAGGCATTTGAACAAATGCTTTCTGCACATCTGTTTGACTCAACTTTGGATTTCTCCTAATATGGTGTCCATGATTTTTATTATGATTACCGGAAGAATAACTGCTCAAACCTGGAGTACTAGCAGGTTTTTTATTCGATTTGAAAGTGTTTGGAATAGGTTGTGTAAAAGTATTCTTAGCCTTTGTTTTAATAGGTTTAAATCCTCCCTCTACCTCAGGTTCTGCAACTGAATGATTATTTTTATAATACTCTTTCAAAAAGTTACCAATTTCTTCTTCTGTCAACTCGTGCGATGGCTGCAAGGAAGTATCTTTTTCAGAGTATTTATTTTTATAAGACGTTTTTGTGTTAATATTAACCTCGACAGGGTTTATTAAACTGACATCGACAGGCTCTATGGGGCTATTTTTGATTAGGCTCAAATCTATCGGCAGCTCTGGTAGAATTTTTTCATATTCTTCTTTAATAGCAACATGGTGTCTTATAGCGTTCGGTCTTTTAAAGTTGTATTTCGATTTAACAGCAGAATGTTGTGATTCTTCACCGTCTTCTTCTTGACCTGTATTATATGGATAACTGTGGTTTAACTCTTCTTGCGGGATGTACTCATAAGCCAAATTAGAATTATCTTCATCCTGGTAGTTAGTTCCTTCAGCTACGTATTTTTGGCCTTGATCTTCGTTAATATATTGGTGAACGTACTGGGAATGATCCTCTATGGGCTTTAGTATTACTTCGTTATGACTAGTTGGTTCTTCCTTAGCTTGTATAGGATGTTTGAAGGTACCTGAATGTTTGACTATGGCGTTGAAACCTGAATGTTTGTCTGCTGTGTAGTCCACTGTTCGAATTGATCCATCTGGCTCGACGAGGGAGTATTGGCCTTTAACCATGTCGCCATCTTTTTTTTCCCATTGATGTTTGATGTCACCGGTATGTAAATCTTTAACACCATAGCTAAATTGGTAGTCTGTGTTTTTCTGAAAATCAAAACAAGTATTAACACAGAATATTATTCTTGATCGAATATTAATAATTGAGGGAGAAAAATAATTAAAGACAAAATAATAGAGTATTAATTATATTCCAACTTTTTATACAGTTACTGATATTTAGGTACATATGATAATTATTTAAGAAATTCTTAGGAATACTCGTTTAACACAGATCATATAGAAGTAATAAAAATTTGACAAGATATCTTCATCAGAACTAAAAAACAAGCCTTTATGGAAGAAATCTCTTGTGAATTAAAAAATCCAACAGGAAAAATAGGCTACATAAAAACAAATAACTTTTAGATGAAATGGCCTGTGAAAAAGGAATTAAAATTCTCAGATTGCCTCCTTACCTCGCAGAATTAAATCCCATTGAACTGATCTGGTCACAATTAATAGGTTATGTTTCTTAAAACAATACAAAATTTAACACGTTGCATACTAATCACGCCTATGAGCGTCAGAATATCGCTGCAGTCAAATGCTAATGACGCACATGTGAGTTTTTAAGATACCTATATTTTCTAATATTTGACATAATTACCTTTGCGTATAAAAGTTTACTTTTTGGAAAAGTTTGAAGAGGGAACTAACTGTTACCCCCTATTTATTAAGCAGTTTTCACAAACCTTTCCTCCAAGTATAAAAGGACATACATATCTACGGAATTTAAAAATGATCTGATCGAAATTGAAGACAAAAGAAATGAAGGTTGTTGATCGTACAGATCAAATGATCGCTTACTATCCATGTGAACAAAAGACAATGAGATGGTATAAAAAATAGGTCTTCACATATTTCAAGTTTTGTTATTAAATTCTTATTATTTATACAAAAGGTATACTATAAAAATGAATTTATATGAGTATCGTTTAGAAATTTTCAGACATCTTTTACAAAACCCTGAAACATCGGTTACTCTAAAAAAACAAACTGCATCACCAAACTTCGGACAAACATAACATTTCAAAAATTTCGAATGTTAATAGACGTCGGATAAAGAAAAAATATGTTTAAAGAATAATTTAAGAAGAGACACCATATTTGAGTGTAGCTTGTGTCCTGAAAAACCTAGCCTTTGTGTTGGAAATTGTTTTGTACAGTTCCATAATGATCAGAACTTGTAATTATTATATTCTTTGTAATAAAGTTTTCTATTCAAATTTCCAGTAATTGTTTCTTCTAAAAATAATTACTTTTTGGAATTTAAAAATTAAATACGCACATGTGCGTCACTTAGATACCTTAATGATCCAGTGCTGACGCCGCCTATGAGCGTCACGCGTTAGAAAAGACAAAATTTACCAAAATATTTCCAAATGTATTCTACCAACAAGAAATTAATCACAGTTATGTGTATGTTTTCAGAAAATACTCTTCAGCACCTATCAATAGCATATCATTAGGCTTTTAGCATACAACGTGTTAAATTACCTGATGTGTGAAATGTTTTTGAAGGCAGTTTCAGATACCAGTAGTTATAGATAGTTCTTAAACTTTTTATTTTTTTTAATCTTTGATTTTAAGTGTGCCATTATTTTATCCACTTTGCACAGAATAGTGATTGGCACAATTGCTGTTTTATAAGGTACAATGAAATTTGCAATGAGCTCTCCTACTATAATAAAAAGTATTAATAATGATAGTTACTTACGTATTCGTCGTGTGCTGGGGCGTAAGTTTTATATTCTACTGGATTGGAATTAGTTGATACTACAATCAATGCTAAATAAAGAGCTTTCTGAAAATAAAAGTCAAATTTAAGGTAAGTTTATCGAAAATACCACATACAAGCATTGCTAATATAGTAAATACTTGTAATTTTGTAAATATGAAAATTAATAACCCCCTATTCCCCCTACAAAATTATGTAAATTGCACCCTAATACTCTTAAAGTGAAAAAAAAAAAAAACAAAAAATGAAAAGAAAAATTGAGTACATTGACATGGAAGCGAACCTACGAGTAGAACGTTTGGACTATAGCCGTCCATGCTTCTACTAGTTGGGATATCAAACCACATGGTTTCGACATTCGAACTCTTAGATTTTAAAGTTCATAGAAGCACAAGTAAACGTGAACCTTCAGAAAAATGTTGTAAATCAATTTTCAACCAATAAAACAGAAGAATTGACTTTAATTGACTTTATTGCTTATAAGTAAAGTCTTTTCTTCTGTTTTTATTGGTTGAAAAGTTATTTACATGTTTCTGGGGGTTCACATACCTATGTGCTCCTATGTTGGTGACGTGCCTGCATCTAGCCACCTATTTAATGGATGAAAGGTATTTCTTAAAGGAAATACTGTCAAGACTATTTATTTTCTTAAAGTAAAAAAACGAAACCCTATAAAGTATCCTTCGATTTTGCCCACAATTTAATCAACTCATCGCAAGATGTATTAAATCTTAAGTTTAAAATTTGAAGATTTTCTCTTTATACGTTTTTGAGTAATCTTCAAAATTTTAAATTTGCACTTTTTCTCAAATATCTTTAGGGAAATCATGTATAGGATAAAAATTATAGAAAATGACATAACAAATAACTTGTCAAAAAGAATCAACGGGACCCCAAAACGTAAACATCTGTTGAAAAAATAATGTTTTCCATACTTTTCTTACTGGTTATTGAAGAGTAAGAGTGTATTTAATTAAATGAATTTAAAACACTAGCATAGTAAACAATAAAAGTTTTACAAGCATAAGAAAGTTTTTTTTTGAACACAGGACAACGAACTCATTAAAATAATATATCAAAATAATTAAATATCATTATTTGAATTGTAAAGATACTCAAAACTAGTTTTAACACAATAGAATACCTAGTCTAGAAAATCTAAGATAGAATTATATAGTTTTTGAATTTTAAAAAGTTTTAAATTAAATGAAATAAAAATTTATGGGTTTGATAAAATTCAACAGGAATTGAAGTCTGATTGGTCTGAACCTAAAATTTTGCATAATTAATAAAGTCATGAGATATTTAAGTTGTTGCAACCGGGTGATAACATTTATAATATTTGTTTCCTGGAAATTTTTGATTTAACAAAGTATGCGGTATTAAAAAGATCTTTTATCTCCTTCCTAGATTAATTTTAGAATACGTAAATTTATATTTTTGCTCAAAAAAACAAAAATTAAGAAAGTTAGTTGTACATACCTGGGAAATCCACATTGCAATATTTAAGATTCAAGTTCAAGTTTGATCGTCGTTTAACCTTCACGTCACCATCAACATCTACTTTCACGTACTGCCTCCCAGCGAATCAAAGGATATATTTATAACATTTTTGGTGTATGCATACGGCCCCCCCACTGGGCGGGCATCTTGTGCCTTTTAATCCTTATTTTAAATCGGTTACGATTTTTTAAACATTAAAATTAGAAGCGATAAAATTTTGACAACTCGTATATCAAATAACCGGACACAATAAAATATTAACATGTTGCTAATGTGAATTATTACGTTAGTTGTAATAATTAAACTTTTACTTTGTTACTTTCTAGATATTTTTCGTTGTTTATAAAGAGATGTCATGACCTACAGTTTATTAAATTCGAATAAGGACGACCTTGGCTTCTTGGTAGTCAATCGAACTGAATTCATAAGATTTCAGCATTGCTTACCATTATATTAGGTTACTAAGTAACTATTTATTATTATATTATAAAGTGTCACCGTTAAAATTTCTCTTTTTGTTGGTTTGTGCGTAAATTTTTCAATAATGTAAGTTCTCTTTATATAGTACTCAAAAAAATTAAGAAGGAATATTGGACTTGCAAAAAAAAGTAAAATTATATTTACTATGTTTATTTGAAAATAAATGTATCAATATTTGCTTTTTTTTCTGCTTTGAACAATTCTGTATATAGACCTTTGCCATAAAAACTGTGCTAGTATGCATTTTAAAATAAACTAAAAGCATTATCAGGATTTAATGGGGTCTATTTTGTTCATTTTAACTGACGGGTGCGATTTTGATTCAATCTAAATGATGTAGGATCAACAACAAACAGCATTGACAACAGTGTATTTTAAATTATAGTGTACATTCGGTGATCTGTACAGGTTTTATAATTATATCAATAATCTCTTATCTTAGCAGTCCCATTCCAGGTATTAACGCTTTGGTATAAAATATGTCTTTTAAGCATTATCTACAATACCTATACATGCGGTTACTGAGCTATAATGCTGTTTTAAAAAGAACCCAACTTGAATATTTTAGAATACAGGACTGTCATAAAAAAATCCCAAAACACGTAAATTTTATTGAACAAGGATCATTTAATGACCAGTAGAATTGTATACAAATAAATAAAAGTTACTTGGTTTTTTCATCTTCTGGAGCAGTAAATATTAATAATTATAAAAAAAAAAAAACTATTGAGGGACAAAGAACAAACGATTGAAAATCTTTTTTTCACAACGTGTGTATCAAAAATTTAATTTGGTTTAACAAAACTAGTAGAGAAACAAAAAGAATAGTTTTTATAGAAATTAAAAATTATCAGTGACGTTCCATTAAAAATTATTTGATTTTATTAAGGGCGAGATATCTTTCCATCATATTCTTAACGTCATTATCCTCTCTTACGTTTTTATAACCAATACTATATTTGATTTTAGCGCCCTTTGGCCGGGATAAAAAACTGTTTTGTAAAATGTGACCTTCGTTTGAAAGTTAATTTTGGACGATTGCAATTATGTATTTATTAACGTTAAACCTCTGCATTGTTTTTTAATTTTTATTTAATTAGGTATGTTTCGTTATGTTGCGTTATCTCGATTGTGAAGGGTTTCAGATTTGAGACTCATACAATATGGAGTTTTACGAATTTCCCTAAATTACCCTGATATCTGTCCATTTAAATACTTGCTGAAATATTTTTATTTTCACAAAAAAATCCAAAATACGCAATCTCACCACCACGCTTCTTTGAATCACAATACAAACATTAATAGCATTACAAAATATAAATAATTTATCAGTATTTAAATTATGTAAGTTCAAATATGTGAATAAATTTAAATTACCAATTCACAAAACTTTGAATAAACAAAATGCAACGCTCAGCCGATCACGCAACAACATAATTAATCGGTTTTACTATGAAACTGCATTTTTAGAATCTAGTTTAAACAATAAAAATTACTGTTTTGATAGTTTTAATTAGTATAGATGTATGTAAAATTTTAATAAGTCTTATTGTTTTTAAAGTAACCAAAAAAGGTTGACAGCTGTGTGCACGTAGTTTAGATTCAAAAGGAAAGACTTGTATTTCGTGCTCAACTTTTTAATTAATAAATGCAAACTCTTTCGGTATTTTGCCATCATCAGTGCTTATCTACAAAAATTGTGGATGTAAACAATTAAAAGATAACAAACAGATTGACATAACCCAGTGTTGGGAATAGTGAGTGTGGGATAAGCACTTACAAATCATATTTGATCTCCAGAAGCAAGTTAGCTTGTGTAGAACTAAGGAATTATACCACCTTCACTATTAGCATTGAGTACAATTGAAAACAAGTTAACAATTTAAAGAAAATTTACAAATAGAGGGTGATTGTGAAAACTATATTGAAATTTGAATTTGAATTTGAATAGTTAATATGAAAAAGGTTAAACGCAAAAGGCCAAAGTAAAAAACTGAAGGTTTTTTTATACATTATGATTATAAAAGAGTCTACCTACTGTCCACAAACATATCCAACATGTTCCTGGTCATCCGCACACCCAAAATTAGATATTTCAGGATATTTACAACTTGTTAAATCATAATTATTACTATTAGTAATATTTTCAAATTTAAATTTCTTTATGCATTGATTTTTATTATTAATATTGTTTAACAATGTCCACATGACAGTGGTGACAAGCGACACTTACAGACGTTGACCTGTCAAATGTCAAGAGAGCAGGTGGGTTCACCAAATGTGATTCGAGTGATTGGAGGTGGTTAAAGGAGATCAAAATTTGTTAGTATGGAATTTAAAGATTTGATTTATTTGTTGGTTAAATTTAAATAAATGTTTATTATGAAATGATATTTTTATTTTTAATGATCCTTTTGATGTTGTTTTTGTATAACTAGTAAAGGTAACTAGTAAATTTATGAAAATAACATCCAAAAATTCTGCTCTGTCCTTAGTTATATATTTTTTTAAAGCTATCACCGCGATACATATTTTTGGGTTTATAAGTTATAACCTGAGTCTTATACTGCTTTTTAATGCTTTTAAATTAGGATCTAACATTAAGACGATCAACTAAGCGGTAGAAATCCGTTATCGCAGTCGTTTAAATATAATTTTTTTTAGCACCTGTCATTAAAACTAGTCTCGTGAAACTAACGAATAATTTTATTCTGAAACAATCTTAAACTAAGTTCTTATTAACTGAGATCAATCGAACAATCTTCGTTAGATTGTTCTGATTACTATACACTGCCGGCCACTAAACATTTTCCAATACGCTTTGCACAAGTTCATGTGAAAATTACAGAGAGTTAACAATGTGGAGGTTCTCATTACTCTTTTTTTCACTACTTTTTAGTTAGTTATTCGTGATTTACGTTTTTTCCACAGCCATCGTTTTCACCTGACATGGCCCCATATGATTTCTTTCTATTTCTGAGATTGACGAGAACCATAGAAGAAAGACGTTTTGCCACAATTGATGAAATACAAACAGAATCGCTAAAGGAGCTGAATACTGTACCAAAAAGTGAGTTCCAGAACTGCTTCCAAGATTGAATATTACCAATGTAACAATATTTATTAATAAAACGAGATTGATTAATTATTTTTTCTCGTGTATTTCTTCGCATTGTCCCTTAATAATTTTAAGAGTAATTATTTCCGTATTCCTCTTGTTATAATAATTATTACGCATTATCCAAAAACGATTCTTCAAACAATTTGAATTTCAATTAACATTCCATGCATGCGTGTACTTCTAACTTTCTTTATGTAAATAATTCTAAATAAATATTATAGTTTGCAGAAGAAGATACTTGGTACTCGTATAAATTTATTTTACGTAATGTTTATTTTGCTAAGATTTCATTTCCATTTCTATTTCTCATGTTAAATTAAACTGCTTTTACTCCTGACAATGATACAATTGAAATGTTTTTTATTCCATACAAAAGCAATTAAGCTTATGATGTTAATTTTCTCGTTATAAAGTTATCAAGATATAATTCATAAATACTATTATATTGTCAATGCATTCGTCTAGGATTGTTGATCATTAGGACAATAAATTTTATATCTATAAAATTCCTTTGTAAAGCAACCATAAGACTTGAATCAATCCATTTACGTGTTTCCGGTTAGTTTTTTCCTTTTCCATGGATCGCTGGAAATTCGTTGTGAAAATAATCTTATACAACGGCTCGTAAACGGTTCAGTACGCATAGTATGAATTAAGGAAATATAAAAGCGATTCTTGATAAAGTTTAGTCCTCAACTTTAGATTTATATAGCTGAGACGAGAGGTAATTTTCCTATATTCAAGATCCCTGTTATTCGCATTAAAATTGTGTATGCCAAGTGTGAAGTTTTTCAATCGGATCCAAAAAGTCAACCGATTTAAGACAAATCGGAGTTAAACCTTATTTCTCCCCGAAGAGTTCTTATTAATGTCTAATTTAATAAATTAATTTGCAAGAATTTTAAGCTAAATGGAAATGCATTCCTGCAAACAATCTACGATCCACCAAATTTATCCTGTTCTATAGAAAAACAATAAAACTTTTACCGAGACATCGTTTACTTTCTACTACCATCATCCTCCTTATCCGATTATCGCGCATCTGTCTAGGAGTCAACAGTATTTATTTATTTGCTTTTTCATTGCATCGACAGCAAAACAAGATTATTTAAGACTCGAACACTGATCGTGTCGATGCACATTTTGAACGTATCGCGGACCTCGAGGGCAAACGCCAGATGACGTTGCTTTCATTTTCGTCTTATAGAAAATAAACGATTATAGAAGTAGGGCAATTATTTCTGTTTCTAAAGAAATTGCGAAACACGCCTTAAAATTTTCGATTCTGTCCTAACACAAGAAAAGGAAAATGTAGGTCTGAAGTAGATAAGTCTGCAAACGTGCTATTAAATCCATGTAAATGTTTCTATCAGAGCAACAAAGAAATATTGGTTTGAGTGAGAAAAACTTTTAATATAATTTTAAGTCGCAATCAGAAACGTGTCAGCATATCAAATACTCATGTG